TTTACTGTGGCACAATACACATGACCCAAAATTTACCATCTTAACCATTTTTAGTATACAGTTCAGTGGTATTAAATACATTCATAATGTTGTGCAACCATCGCCACCATCCATCTCCAGAACTCTCTTCATCTTGTAAAACTGAAACTCTACACCCATTAAACAGTAACTTCCATTTTTCTTCACCCCCAGCCCCTGGCAACCATCTTTCTGTCTCTATGATTTTGACTACTGAAAGTATCTCGTGTAAGTGGACCATACGGCACTTGTCTTTTTGTGACTAACTTATTTCATTTAACATACTGTCCTCAAGGTTCATCCACGTTGTAGCATACTGTAGAATTTCCTTTCTGTTTAAGACAGAATAATATTCTATTTTATGAATATGCCACATTTTGCTCATCCATTCATCTGTCAGTGGACACCTTGGTTGCTTCCACATTGTAGCTACTGTGAATAAAGCTGCCACAAATATGGTAGTGCAAATATCTCTTTGAGACCTCAATTATTGGGTTGTCGGAAAAGTCATGACATATTTTTTCTATGTTTTCCATTGTAAAAGTGTGTCATGACTTTTCCGACAGCCCAATAGTTTGGGTATATACCCAGCTGTAGAATTGCTGGTCATACGGTAGCTCTAGCATTAATTTTTTGAGGAACCACGATACTGTTTTCCACAGAGGCTGTACCATTTTATATTCCCACCAACAGTGTACAAAGGTTCTCATTTCTCTACATTCTCACCAACACTCGTTTTCTGAGTTTTTTAAGGGTGTGTGTGTGTGTTTTGTTTTGTTTTTGATCGTAGCTATCCTAATGGATGTGAGGTATCTCATTTTGGTTTTGACTTGCAGTTTCCTCATGATTAGTGATGTTGAACATTTTTTCATGTACTTATTGGTCATTTGTATATCTTCTTTGGAGAACTGTCTATTCAAGTCCTTTGCCCATTTTTGAGTCAGGTTGTTTGTCTTTTTGTTGTTAAGTATTAGGTGTTCTCTATATATTCTGGATATTAATCTCTTATCAGATATATGATTTGAAAATCTTTTTTCCCATTCTGNCTAGTTGTGGAGGACGTTGCTTCATTGGCCCAAGTTGGCACCATCATTGCGCTCTTCCCTGGTGAGGCAGATCAGTCGCCGGCTTCTAAACGGCCATGCACTGCGGATGCTGGCCGCTCACGCTGGCTGCTGGCTACACACGGTAGCCCATGGCAACCCACGGTAGCCCATGGCAACCCATTGCCACAGGGTCTGCAGCCTATGCCATCGCCGGTGACTCATGGCAACCCAGCTCCAGGTTGAGCTGTTGTTCAGCATCTCAGCTGTGGAGGGAAGTGTCACTGGCCCTCATATGTGGGATCTGAACTGGGGCCCTCTGGCATCCCAAGCCAGTTCTTAACCATTGCGCCACTCGGCTGGCCCTGATGCACTACATTTTTATTTTTATTTTTATTTTATTTATGGGGAGACATTGGTTTATAAGATTATATAGGTTTGAAGTATACAATTTAATAATATATCATCTATATATTGCATTCTGCATTCATCACCCAAAATCAAGTCTTCTGTCACTATATATTTGACACCCTTTACCCTTTTCTACCTCCCCCAACTCCCTTTTCCTTTTGGTGACCACCATACTTTTGTCTGTATCTATGAGTATTTTGTTTGCTTATTTGTTTTGTTTGTTTCCTTGTTGCTTTCTGTTTTATATCCCACATATGAGTGAAATCATATAGTTGACTTTTTCCATCTGACTTATTTTACTTAGCATGATATTCTCAAGATTCATCCTTNGCAGAGTCACTTCTGTAATACACAACTTGATTGCAATCAATACCTGCAATTTCGAGGCCTTGTGATTTTAGGTTTCAGCTTACATTTGAAATCATTGTTTTGATCAGTCCATAGCAATTTTGTTTTGTTTTACTTTTTATTACAGAAAATTTCAAACGTGCACAAGAGCATACTAAAATGAACCCCAAATACCTATTACCCATCAAAACACTTATTGATTTAACCTTTATGCCATCGGTGCCCTCACCCAATCCTGCCACTGGATTTTTTTATAGAGCAAATCACAGACATCATTTCATCCACAGATATTTGAGAATATAACTCTTTTTAAGCATAACCTCAGTTCCATGATCACACCTAAAAAGTCGAATATGAATTCTTTAAATCTGTCCAATACCAAGTCCATGTTCAAATTTCCTCCAGTTTTTCACTTTCTTAAAATATTTATTTATTCATTCTTTCTTTGATTGATTACTAGAAATTAAAGTTTGTTGCTTTTCAAACCAGGATTCAAATAAGGTGCTCCCACTTCCAAATCACCAAACAGGTGCCTTGTTCCCTGGAATGGTGAACCGTTTCCTGGCCTAGGTCAGACCCTTCCTGCCCCAGGTCTGGAATCTGCCATTTCTCTAAGGATTGCTAGCTTTGTTATGTGAGACGGTTGTTCCGAGACCACGATCTGGAATGTTCATTGTTCTTGCTTCAAGGCTTTAACAGTGGACAGGGCTACTTCAAATTTAGGACTCATAGGAAAGATAGATAGATGTGGAAGTAGGAATACTGATAATTCAGATTCAGGACAATGAGGTTTTCATTTAACTGATACAACTGTATCTCCTCTTCTTCACACTGAGAAACCTGGTTCTCATGGACACAGGAGATGATAGCATTGAAATTTTCCATAAGCTCGTTTTTCTTTATCCTACAACGCACACATAGGACAGTCTCAGAATAAAGGTATTAATACTATCATAATGTATATTACTGAAGACACTTGTGTTTGCCAGGCATCCTGAAACAACCTGGTTAACCTGTAGAGCTCTATTTTTTTTCATTTTTTTCTTTTTCTTTTTTTTTTTTTTTACTGTGGCACAATACACATGACCCAAAATTTACCATCTTAACCATTTTTAGTATACAGTTCAGTGGTATTAAATACATTCATAATGTTGTGCAACCATCG